AAGAGTGCTTTATACAAATTAAAAGCTAATGTATTCACATGGTTACAGTAACATTATTAATAATGATGTCAAACTCCATATAGGATGCATTTCAGATGAAAAACTGGTCAACACAAAAACAACTTTACAATAAATGATAACCTTTTTTCTGTCATGAACAAATAATTAAATACAAACTTCCGTCTAACACAAAACACATCTTCAAAAAGAAAAAAAAAACATGGAAAATGACATGGTGCATCTTGCTATTGAGTAACATGTTATAGTGTTCAATATTGGCAGTTTAACAACCTCGAACGAGACTATTGTTATGATATACGACTAAAGATCTCTTGTATACTTCAGTCTTAAAGTGTTACATTGAAAGTGGCTTGAATCCAAGAAACTTGTGTCAAGGATGCCACACTCAAGAAAACGGCAGAACATGAGGGGCTGTTGGTTTCCAGTCTTGTATTTTAACAAAGAAATTCACCTTAAATAAATGTTATTCTGATGATTATCTGATTACTCCCTTAAGGAAGATGTTTCCATTGTTATTCTTTTTGAATGACCATGAGAGATCACTGCTGAAAGCAAAATATCCTCCATTGTGTAAATTCCATGTGCAGGTTTTTATTTGGATTAAAATTTCACAATAGTCAAGTCAAATGAACGAAATAAGTGGCAAGTCAATTAGGAAAATCAAGGTATACTGGTCCACGCATGCACTTTGCCTCACCTCACCTGCCTTGTCATTTGTTAAAATGACAGATGTCTTTGAACAGGCTCCACTTGCAAAGCTTATCTGCACTGAAATACTTTTTGTCCCAAGCACCCCCTTATCTGCCATGCAATTCTTAGTGTTCCTTTGGTTATGTATAAAATCTACATGCATCTCATCTTTTACAAAAATAAAAGAATATATAGAAAATGACCATTAAATGATCTTTGAAATAGTTTCTCCAATTTAAAAAAAGAATTCTGATTAGTAATATATTCATCTGTTAATATTTCACGTATAACCTCCATCTAAATTGTATATTAAACTATAGTCAAATACAATTATTTTTTTTAAAATGTTACTTCTCACACATTGTATTAATTTAATTAAAAAGACGGTTAGTAATGTATAACAAAGTGTAATTAGTGAGAAATTATTCCCACATGAAGCCCTGGTTTCCCTTACTTAAAGCGATTTCAGGAAAACATTAAATAGCAGAACTCTTCAAAGGGAGATCTTAATTTCCTTCAAGACTTATTTTTAGTTATCCTGATTGATCTGCATAGCATGTCATGTCTATGTGCATAGCACGTATACAACCTTCCTCCTCTGATGAAATGATTCAACCTAACTTGGATGTAGGCTCTTCTTTTGCCATTAGAGTACACGTGCCACCTGACAGGAATACTCCCAAGTGCCTTGAAACACAACCCGGTTCCGCAAAACCTTCAAGCAGCCCATATAGCAGTGGAGGAATACTGCTTTCAATGATATAACACTTGGCCAACCAAATAATTTGTTGGCAAATAAAATTACCTTTGAATGCCCCCTTTAAAAAGTACACAAATCACATTTCTTCATATTGTTGGTGAAATTGCACATCAGGAGAGAAGAAAATACTCCCCCAAAGTGATTTCCACCCTGCTCTTTAGCACACACTGGGCAGAGTCATGAATGCCAAACTGTGAATGCATATCACATATGTGGCCGGGACGATACCAGTATCGCAATATTTTTTCCATTGCAAAAATGAAAAGACGAAGCAGACCAACTCTTTTGTCCTTTAAAAACCTGCTGTATGTAAAATAGTGTGCTTTAGCTTGGGAAATAAATACATGTGACTCTGGATGACAACATAATGATGTTTGTTTCCAACATTAGGGCGGTTTTCCTAAAGAAGTTAAATCTGCTTCATGTTTTATTTCCTTGCCGCAATACTATGGAGTATTGCGATACTTGTGTCGTCCCAGCACTAATCACATACCCCGTACTGTTCAATTACTGAATTACCACTGAAATAACTCCTAGTTACTTTGCAGCTCCGGGCTCTTCAATGAAAAATAAACAAAAAGCACATGTTTCGTACCATCAAGCGACCAAATAGCGTTTGGTCAACATGCAGAGTCCAAAGTCAAATCAAGCATCCTTAACTCAGTCTCCTCCAATGACCTTAAACATCTTCAGACTTTGCCCATGTCATAGATGGGTTGGCTGACGTCACGAAAATGACGTACGCGCATCGATGGGGCCGGAAGCAGAGCTTTGTTATGATTCTGAACGGTCAGATGGCTAGCAACAATGACAAGAAGTTGCCATGTGGGGAATCATAGGTGGCTTGTTTCAGCTAGTTTTATCTTGTTCTTGATACCATGTCTTGTTTTGAGGTGTTTGGACCGATTTCATGTCAATGCTAATATAGCTAAAATTTGCTAGCTAATCAACAACTGTAACAATGTATTTGAGACAATTGCTCATTGTGCAAATGTGTTTTTGTTTTCAATAAACATTTGGAGATGAAATATAGTTTACATGTTGTCAACAATCTAAGCCAACCCCTGCAGTAGTGTAGACAGAAATTAGTTGGTCCCCCCCTAATTTACTGCAATTCTACACGTTTTGTCATGAGGCAGATAAACCTTTTTTTTTTAAAGCGAATTAAAGCTAAAAAAAATAGGTGTGTTGACTGTGATAAAGGCACTGGATTATGAGCTGTCTTGTTTGCTAAATGAACAAAGTAGGAGGTGGTATGATGCATATATATAGTGCATATCGCCACAGAAGCACAGTGACATATGCCTCAATGCGGTCATATTCATGGCTTATTGGGAGTGTGGCTTTCAGTTAGTTATTTTTGGCCAACCAATCCATGAGAGTGAATGTCATTCCAGTGCACTTCTTGTAGAGATGTTAACGGTTAACCGTTAATAGGTTAGCCGCCGAAATTACATTTGACCAGTCATGCTTATCAGTCTACAGGTTCATTTGCATAATTTAGTGGAATTATATTGGCGTGCATCTTAGTTATCACAAGCAGACAGAGCCTAGTTTGAGGAGCAGAATAACCTATAACCTGTCAGACAGCGCGAGAGTAGCTCCTCAAAAAGCTGGGTACTGTAGTGAAATGTGTTTTTATAAGCCCAGTCATTGCGCAGCAACTAATTCTAAATGCAATCGCATGTGAACTGTTTTGATGGCCACGACTAAAAATAATAAAATATATTCCCATTTGAGTGCATATGCTATTGTCAACGGTAGGCAGGCGATCAGCTCGTCACCCACCACTTTACAATGTGAGCTTGAGGCAGTATAATTGTTTGAAACCTGATCGTTTTACTTTACGTTAAATACGTTAAATAATGTCTTACCTTGCTTCAAAGTAGCCTTGCCAAAATCCAACCATAGAAACATGGAGGCAAATTATTATTTTTATTTTATAAGGACTTCCTCATGCCATTAACCAGCATTTTTCTACTGCTCTATTGGTTTTCATATCAACTTTCTTTCGTTGTCCAGAAGCCAAAGACACAATGCTAGTCATATTAGCAACCCATCTTAGTTGTTGCTATTAGATTCCCCATCTTTCTAAGTTTGATATCTGTCACATATGGAACCATTTGCAATAGATGTGCTGTTTAGAACTGTGTTTTACCGCGAATTGCATTTTGGCAAATGTTTGAAAATGACATTTTATTAGCTGCTTCATTACAGGAGTTGAAATGTTCAATAATAGGCTATAGGCCTTTTGACTGCAAGACGATAGGCTTGCTATTGTTGCATGTTTCCATTAAGCTCACAATGGAAAATGTCCGTTCCTTGTATGCATGCATAGTAGGCTATTTTCTGTTGGTGATATAATTTTACTATTTGGAAAAAATGTAACTGTTTGTTGACCGGTTAATGAGGGTCGGTTAGTCGGCAGCAAAACTAACCGAAAATTGCATCCTTAACTGCTTGCTATGAATTCTATCTGATGGTGTTTGCATGTTTAGGTAAAAATACGATTATTATTTATATTTTTTTGCTCAATCTGATTGGATGGGCCTGGCTTCCCAGTGGGTGGGCCTGGGCCCACACAGCTGCAACCCTTTCTGTTTTGCCCCATAGTTGCTCACACGTTGGTTTTGTTGCTTAACAACCAACCCGTCCATAGTCCCACTGCATCTTCTCAATCTTTTCCTTGGGGAAAGTCCAGAGGAGTTTGTGTGTGAACCCCATTCCCTCATACAGATGCAGCAGCTTCAATTCATGTCTAAGTTGGCGGTGGTCGGTAATCGTTCACCTACAATTTATACGAAAACTGGCCATTTTTTCCTGTGTGCACCGTCCATTTCACCTTCAATATCAAAGACATCAATGAGGTGTACCATGTCAATCCTAAAACTACTTTGGTATAGTAATAATATTAATTGTTATATTAACTCCAAGTAGTTTAGAGTTGTTTGTTGTGTTTAGTATTTTTACTCCAAATAAATTCTGTCACACTTCTCTCAAAAACACTCCAAGAAAATACATACGGCAAACTCCCAAAAAGTTGCAAGTGTTACTATGGGGGCTGGGTCTCATGTATGATGGATCTCCTGACCATCCACTCCTATTGGCACGTGACATGGATGTCTGAGGTCTGTTTTCGTCCTTAAATCCAAAAAAAACTCAAAAGTACAAACGCTAAGATTAAAATTAAAAAATAAAAAATAGCTTTCGGATCTTCAGCCGATAGAGAGATGAGGAATGGGAATGCACCAGGTTTGTTCTTTATTGTGGGTGTCGTTGAGTGTGTGATTGGGGATCCTTACCCGCAACAAAGAGTCAAAGACAAATGTTGACATTGTACTTCATGATGTTCTTCATTAATCTCCTGCACAAAGCAAAAGATACAGGGAGTGAGTGAAGGTGAGAGGGAACCAAGGGCCATCATGATGAGGATAAAGAAAGCAAATAGGGAAAGACAAGGGTGATATAGTTAGAACCTGAAAGTATAATTTCAGCGTACCTGGCTAACACTGAAAGGGTTGCTGGGAAGTTAGCTGGGTACCCAGTTGTGGGCGGAGCTCTGCGTGGTCGCAGGGCCGGAGTAGCTTTGCCCCCCCTGGATTATGGGGTCAAAGTTGAAATCGATGCCCTCTCCATCCATGAGGTCGCTGTTGATGATGTAGTCCACGTCACAGTCCAAGTTCTCTGTGAACATCTCGATGTCCAAGTCGGTGGGCAAGCGGTCTTGACTGGGCAGGAAGCAGCTCGGCGTTCCGAACTGGCCCATCCCTGGCAGACCTCCTCCTGCATTGGCGGAGAGGCCCCCTCCATGGTGAAGCCCCATGCCTGGCAGCTGTGCATGCTGGGCTTTGAGGCCTGAGAACTGTGGAGAGTCCTGGGCCATACCTGACAGAATCATGCCCAGGCCCAGCTGAGAGTGCTGCTGCTGCTGGGACTGGAGTTGAGATTGCATCCCCATGGGTGCCACAGTGTTGGGCTCAAGCCCCTTACCCAGCAACAGCTGGTTGGGCTTGGCCCGCCCTCCTACCATGGGCCCCCCCATGCCCATCATCCCCACACCACCCGGACTGGGCATCAGCGGATCCACCTGGGTCATCATGACATCACTGGGAGGCGGGGAGTCCGAGGTGAGCAACGCCTCCAAGCTGGAGGCTACATGGGTGCCATAGTGACCAGTCCCACGGGAGCCGGGGCTAGGCATAGGGTTGAAGAGGGAGTTGCCATAGTTTGAGGGTTTGGAGTTGTTATTGTTGCCACATTGTGTGCCTGAGGACTGTCCCCCAGTCTGGTTGGCGGCCTGGGAGAGGTTGGGTGGCTGCAGCTGACGGAAAGAGGGGAACCCGGACCCCCGGGGAAGCAGGGTGGAAGCGGAGGGAAGAGGGGTGGGGGGCACCAGGGGGGCCGTGCTGGGACTAGCCCTTCCTTGCTGCTCGGTCATCAGCGTCAGGCCATCGATCAGGTCCAGCTCCTCCATGAGTGTCTCGGTGAGGGTGGGGGGTAGGTTGCCCGTGGAGTAGCCCAGTAGGCCTTCCTCAGGCAGGTCATCCTCATCCTCCTGGCCGGGACCAATGGGGGACAGCCGGCCACTCAGAGTGCTGGCGTTGGAGCTGGTGCGTGGACGGAAGCTGGTCCACATGTCAGGGTCATCTAGGCTGCCGCGGGATGAAGGGCTGCCACAGTTCACCCCCCATTTGGGGAACTGCTGGGAGGAGTTGGGACTGTCTGCGCCGCCGTCACCGTCTCCCCCGGTGGTCCCGCCCAAGCCTGCTGCTGCCTTCTTGGTCTGCTTGGCCCGCATCCGACTCTTCAGCAGTTTGCTGCTGTTGTCCATGGAGGCAGCACGGCGACGGGGGGCTTTCCCAGTCTTGCCCCCCTCTGGGTTGAGCATCCACCAGGAACTCTTGCCTGTGGACTCATTGTGAACTCTCAGGAACTTGTTGTGGAGTGATAAGTTGTGGCGAATTGAATTCTGAGGTATCGGGAAGGGGAAAGAAAAAGGGTTTTGTTTAACATTGGAAACCATTCAACATCATTTGATTGACAATAGATTTTAAGTAATTACTTCCATTGTTCACTAATTAATGCAGTGAAATAATGTATCATGTGATCACATCAAATGGGTCTGTATAACATAGTTATAACAATGTGTATAACAATAATGAAGCGCATTAAGGTAAACATCGTTTTTTTTACCTTCCACCCTGCTGAGCTGTTGCTATCTCCTTTATCTTTGAAGTAAGGCACGGTTTTCACCATCCAGTCATATATCTGTGCCAAGGTTAAGCGCTTCTCTGGAGAGTTCTCAATAGCCTGACTAATCAGGTCCGCGTAGGACTGGTTCCCCCATGCATTGCGCCGGGATGATCCCTTTCGGGGCGTGGCTCCACCCACTCCGGCTCCTCCCTCTGAGACCACAACTTTCTCAGGCTCACATATGATTTGTTTTTGCTCCTGCTTATCCTCATCGGCGGGCGGGGTTCCCGCAGCGGATTCAGGGCCGTCTGCCCCCTCCGGTTTAACAGCTGAGATGTCGGGTTTGGGGAGCGGCCATGTGCACGACCTAGGTCTGCTTTGCGGCTCAAAATCTGGGTCAATCGTGGGAAGCTTTGAATCCTCCATTGTATGGTTTTGTTCAGAGATTTTCCTCAAAAGGTTTGCTACACTTCTGAGCTATCCTAAATGTTGACAACTAAGAGATAATACTTAAAATATAAATGACAAAATAAATAGTAGGACTGAAAAATCGGAACTAAATCACAATAAAAATAATATTTAAAAAATAATCTGGGGAGGTTTGTCGACACGTGTTTGTAACAGGCACACCAAAATGAAGGCCTATTAAATCAAATGTTATTGGTCACATACACATATTTAGCAGATGTTATTGTGGGTGTAGCGAAATGCTTGTTATTATTATCTGAGGAGTCTATGTTCAAACTAGATTTTCTAATAAAATTATTGTAGAACCAAAAATTCAATTTAAACTATCGTACACAAAAATGCTATTTTCCATCCTCTATTAAGGGGACTAGTAGAAGAAAGACACAATGATCTGGACACACCAATATAGCGTCGGTTAATCCTGAGATTGGAGATTAGGGGACCCAAATAATCTCCTTAATAGTAACTATAATAAACCTTCCGATTTACAGAGCAAAGAAAGGCTGGGATGAGGGTTCCTTTGTTTGTATAAAAGAACAAAGAGAACTCAGGGAGGAATGCACACCAAAACATCTGGATTGCAATCACAATACAATGCAATTGATGACCCACATAACGTGTTATGGTAAAACGTTGCTGTGGGGTATATATATATATATATATATATAAAAAAAAACGTATCAGTTTAGTTTTGGTAGTTTGTTGGAGACACAGTAAATCTCTGCGACGTTTGTGAAAAGGTGAGCTAATTAAAGGGAAAGTAGCTATACAATTATATAACACTATAAATTGAAATTACTTATTTATTGTGTCTTCCTTTAAAAATAGTATTGCCCTTTGAGTTTTACCATTAGAAAATAAAAAGTCGCCCTCAAGCACATATACTTGCAAAGAACCCACAAATTAGGATTACACAGTGGGTCACTGTTACAAAAGAGCGTTCGTTACAAATGATCAACTAGCTAAATTTAACGATGCCTCGTTCCGCACTTGTAAACAACGTGCCGTCTCGCTCCTTCTCACGTAGAAATAACCTCGCGCTTCAATAGAATACTGGAGCCGATATATAGTTACAACATTTATATCAACATTCTAATTAATTTTGTAAACAACAACTAATTGATAACAAAATACACAATACATCTAGCTGTCACTGATCCCCGTGAAACAATGTTACTTTGTGGATTCATGGAGCTATAGCAATAAGATGATCAATGTTTCAAGTAAAAAGTATGCTATATTTGATTATCTAACCAATGCCACGTTTACTGCTGAAAATAAGTCCAAAAAGTAATGTTATGGTGGATGTCGTTTCTTTCCACTACAGCATTATAACTTGGCTAGCTAAGTAATTTAAGTCGACTGACAAAAATAAATGTTGAGAGCAAAACCTTACTGAACAGTTTGATCATGATGGTCTGTAACAACAATTAGAGGAAACAAATCAATCAGAAAGTCCGTGGTTTTCTGATTTAGGTTTGCACTCTCCTCCACATTGTGGGCAAGCGCGTGTCGCCATCTGCCATGTTTCTCGACACCGAGGAGCGGCAGCACACGATGCTCACGCGGGCATAAACCTTCAGAAGGTGCCTAACTTGAGTCAGTCCTCGTCCCCTGGACACTTTAAAGCACGCTTCGCAATCCACGGTTTCTTGAAGTTTACTCTCTTACACCTCGGACCTCGGCTGCACTCTCACCAAACGTAGTTGTGGAAATCGCGTAATAGCCACCTAGCTAGCTGGCTAACTCCAGTTATTTCGGAGTTTAAAAATCCTTTCAGAAGTCGGAAAAATGGCTTCAGTACCTTCCTTTGGAATTTGCCCCTTTCAGTAGTTAGTTTTGCTCGACTTGTGTCTATTATGGATGTCAAAATATTCAGTCATCGTAGATCTTTTTTGGTTTTGTTTTGTTTTGACTCGAGGCGAAGACTCCCTTCTGACGTCTATTTACCACCGCCAGACATCGTGTACTGCGCTTGCGTGTTGAGGATTGCTGGGAAATGCAGTCAGTCATGTGACGATTTAAAGCGCAAAAGTAAACAACGAACGGCTGGCGAGCTAAAATAGCTGTTTCGGTGCTGAAAATCCGGATTATGCAACACTTCCTAAAGTGTACGCACCACCTACACACACCTAAACCAAAACTGGAAAGTTACCCGTCAATGATCGTAAATCAGATTTCAGTTGACCAAGTAGGTTTAGACTACAGATCTATTCAGCCCCAATCTAGTTTTGAAGCACATGCATCCCTCTTTCATTTGACACTCAAACTTTCACCAATAGTCCCGGTGTGTCGGTGCATTGTCTTTAAAAAAGTAGATTGTCGACAGGTTACTTTAAAGTTGCTATTGTTGTATTCAAAATAATTATTTGTGTGGCTAGGAAGATCTGATACATTTTGTAAAGAATATCAGTGCCAACATAGAAAAGCATAGAAATGCCCTATTTGTTACGTAAACGACATGTCTAATTTTAATTTTGAAGATCAGCCTAAATCAGCATGGTGTGTTTATTTTAACAATAATCTGACAGTGTGCACAAGAACTACAATTCCCAGTGTATTTTACAGTAGAACTTTGTTTGAGGAGTGGTTGGCCGAATAACCCTTTGGCGAATGCAGCGCGTGATGTAAACAGAATAATAGCCTATACAGTAGAGATAGACTTATGTACAGCAAACATATAAATCTGGTCTGATTTAAGCTACTTTAAATCTTTATTCTGGAAACGTATATATTTTTTTGCTATAGAATAAGCCGTTCTGTAGATTTGTAAGACTTTCAAATGATACACTTTCGTTCTGTTCATTGATAATATTTTAATCCCATTTTGTCAGTATGATTATTGTTTCACACTTGTTTAATTTTGGCACAATTGTTTCATTCTCTTCTGCAATTGGTCAAAATTAATCCAGTAAATGCGTTTGCTCTGCTTTGATTGGCTGAGGAACAAGAACCTTCACACCAGTTTGCGTTTCCACTAGCTTCTATAGCCACAAAATCAGATTCCAAAGCCACAAAGTCAGATTCCACAGCCACAGTCAAAATTTGCTACAAGAATTCACTTTTTGGTCTTAATTTAAGGTAAGGATTAGTGGAAGGTTAGGGCGGCAGGTAGCCTAGCGGTTAAGCGCGCATTGGGTCAGTAACTGTAAGGTTGCTGGTTCAAATCCCTGAGAAACTAGAAAAATCTGTCGATGTGCTCTTGAGCAAGGCACTTAACCCTAATCGCTCTGGATAAGAGCGTCTGTTAAATTACTGAAATGTCAGGTTTAAAATTTTAAGAAGATCAATTGTATAAATGGGCGGGGTTTATGACTTGGCTATAGAAGCACGACCCCGTTTATGGTTTTCCACTAGATAACACAGCCACAAAGTCAGAGTCCAAAACGACAGTCTGAGTTTTTTGGTCTTAATTTAAGGTTAGGCATAATGTTAGCAGTGTGGTTTAAAATCAGATTTTAAGAAAATAAATTCTAGAAATGGGCGGGGTTTAGCCATAATTATGACTTTGTGGCTGTGTTAACTAGTGACGGACGACCCCAATTTATCGTCTCGAGATCAGCAGCAGCTGAAACCAAAAATGTCGGATCCCACGGTTGCAGACACTCGCCGATTAAACTCTAAACCGCAGGATCTCACAGATGCGTATGGCCCCCCAAGCAATTTTCTTGAAATCGACGTTTATGACCCACAAACTATTGGAGTCGGCCGGAACCGATTTACCACCTATGAAGTGCGAATGCAGGTGAGGAGCGCCAGTATTGAAATCGAGGCCGGTGATTTTGGCAGGGCCTGTAGGTGACGCTAGTATGGTGCGGGAACATGGGTTGGGACGTGTTTTTGGAGAGACTCGACTTTTTGATGTTCAAATGCTTAGCCTTTCACTTTGTCATTTTAAGTAATCCTTTCATCCAAATTCCTGATGCAGTCATTACTAATATGGCTACCACCAACATCAAATAGCCAGCATGTGAAAGGTTGTCTGATTAGGTAGTGTTTCTGACAACCTACATTACTGACTAGCAAAGGCTATAGCTAGCTCGTTTATTCAATTATGTAGGATGTGTAGGCTTTTTCTCCAACCTAGAAGAAAACCCTGTAAACCCCCAGGACCAAGATTGGAGAATATTGGGCCAGTTAGTACTGTAGATATGAGATGGGCAGCCAGCCACTGGGGTGTTAAACCTTCATGGTATAGAAAGAACGGTGTTTGTACATGAGCTAGTCTCACAAATCACAGACCGAGGGCATGCTTGTACATTGTCTGTCTAGCAAGGGTGTCAAACTCATTCCATTGAGGGCCTAGTGTATGTGGGTTTTTCGTTTCAATTAAGACCTAGACAACCAGGTGAGGTGCGTTCCTTACTAATTAGTGACCTTAATTAATCAATCAAGGACAAGGGAGGAGCGAAAACCCAGACATTATACCAGCATTTCCCAAACTCGGTGCGCGTTTTGGTTTTTGTCCTAACACAGGGAGTCAAATGATCAAAGCTTGATGATTATTTGAATCAGCTGTGTAGTACTAGGCAAAAACGAAAACGTGCACCGAGTTTGGGAAACCCTGTACTAGGCCCTCCATGGAATGAGTTTGACACCTGTGGTCTAGAGCAGGGCTGCCCAACCCTCTTCCTGGAGAGCTACTGTCCTGTAGGTTTTCAGTCCAAACCGCTTCCTAGAGATCTACTGTCCTGTAGGTTTTCAGTCCAACCCTAATTTAGCATATCTGATTCAGTTAGTTAAGGTCTTGTTGAGCAGCTAATAAGTAGAATCAGGTGTGTTAAATTAGAGTTGGACTGAAAACCCACAGGACGGTAGATCTCCAGGAAGAGGGTTGGGCAGCCCTGGTCTAGAGAGACTATAGTTGGACAGTGTATACCAGGACTGCCCAGCCCTCTTCCTGGAGAGCTACAAGCCTGTAGGTTTTTGCTCCAACCCTAATCTAGCACACCAGATTCTAATAATTAGCAAGTTGATAAGATGAATCAGGTTAGTAACACCTGGGGTTGGAGCGAAGACCTACAGGAGGGTAACTCTCCAGGAACAGAGTTGGCCAACCCTGGTGTATACCCTTACTACTACATACCTCAATGTATTAATGCAACAATCTCATGGACACTCTCCTCTGGGTTTCCCTACTCCCTGAAGATGTGGTTGCATTATGAAACATCCACTATCACTAGATACACCACACCAGTGTCACAACTGAACAGTGGTGTTCACCAATTGAGACAAGATGCTGATCAAATTATTCATTAGTGAAGGGTGTAAGTACTGACGTCTGACCGCGTCACTGGACATGTGGATGCTGTACTGGAAATACCACTCCCCAATCTGGATTGCTGTCATTTAATGTAGTGATTAATATAATTGTTTTCACATGCAGACAAACCTTCCCATCTTCAAACTTAAGGACTCTGTTGTGCGAAGAAGGTACAGTGATTTTGAGTGGCTGAAGAATGAGCTGGAGAGAGACAGTAAGGTAGGCTCTCACACTGCGTAACTACTTGCCTGAATGTCTCACCAGTATAATGCCAATTTATTTTGTTGGAATTCAAGTGTTTGTTTCTATGTGACTAAGTAACAGATTTATTGATAAGTTGTGCGCTTGCTACAGATTGTGGTGCCCCCTCTCCCTGGCAAAGCTTTGAAGAGACAGCTGCCCTTCCGAGGAGATGAGGGTATCTTTGAGGAGTCGTTCATTGAGGAGCGGAGGGTAGGCTTGGAGCAGTTCATCAACAGGTGTGTATTGTTTCTGTCTATATGATTTCTCTCTGTATGGCTGTCTCCATTTCAGTGCATTATCAAATTAACTCTCAGCCATCTGCCTTTTGACTCCACTAATAATCAATTATGATTGCTAATTACCTGAAACCTACTTCTCTCTCCACTGCCACCAGACTCGCAGGTCATCCCCTGGCCCAGAATGAGCGCTGTCTTCACATGTTCCTTCAGGATGAGTCCATTGACCGAAACTACATTCCTGGAAAAGTACGCCAGTAGGATGGGCAGGGTTTAGGGTTGAGGTGCCAACTAGGGCAGGGAATTGCCAGGGACCTCACGATATGATATTATAACGATACCTAGGTGCTGATATGTATTGCGATTCGATATTGTGATTTAATGTTCCAAACATATTGCTCACGATACACTGAGAATACAAAACATTAAGAACACTTGCTCTTTCCATTACAGACTGACCAGGTGAATCCAGGTGAAAGCTATGAACTCTTATTGATGTCACTTGTTAAATCCACTTCAATCAGTGTAGATGAAGGGGAGGAGGGTTAAAGAAGGATTTTTAAGCCAGATTGTGTATGTGTGCCATTCAGAGGGTGAATGGGCAAGACAAAATATGTAAGTGCCTTTTGAATGGGGTATGGTAGTAGGTGCCAGGCGCACCAGTTTGTGTCAAGAACTGCAACGCTGCTGGGCATTTCCATGCTCAACAGTTTCCCAGGTGTATCAAGAATGGTCCACCACCCAAAGGACATCCAGCCAACTTGACACAACTGTGGAAAGCATTGGAGTCAACATGGGCCAGCATCCCTGTGGAACGCTTTCGACACCTTGTAGAGTCCATATCCCGATTTAATTGAGGCTTTTCTTAGGGCAAAAGGGGGGGGAGTGCAATTTACATTTAAGTCATTTAGCAGACGCTCTTATCCAGAGCGACTTACAAATTGGTGCATTCACCTTAGGAACTTAATATTAGGAAGGTGTTCCTCATTTTTGGTGTACTCTGTGTATGTCTGCTGCAGAGAGACGAGACTGCATGAGAAAGCAAGTTTTGATCTGTCAGGGGGAAAAAAAAGTGCTGAAAACATGTTGGCTCACTATTTAAAAAGCTGGAGAACAAGCTAAAGGTTGAAAAATACTGGCGTTTTGGCACAGGTACAGACAACTACCGATAGCCGACTGGGTGGCTGGGTTGGAGAGGGGTGTGGCAGTAGGTGGGGTGTGCTGGCTGTTCCTTAGCGGTTTTCATCCATCTCCCCCGGATAGGGAATAGCATTTTATTTGTACACTAAAGAATATAAATACTATATATATATATATATATATATATATATATATATATATATACACAAGTATGACCTCAGCTATCAAGTCTTATCTAGTTGACTAATTTTATGCTTATTAGAAGCATAATCGTGTGGATTTGTAAGATAATTTTGCATAACCTAAATGCATAATATTTATTGTGTAAATGCATGTCTGTAACCAGGTTTCCATGTGAGTAAAGTACATGTTGGATAAAAATGCCAGGCCTGATGGAAACAGCAAATTTGTACGGAAACTTTCCAAATGTCTACAAAACAAAATACACTAGACAAGGTGGGCTCTTTTTGTGTCGGTAAAATGTATGATGCGAGAAATGGTGGTGGAAACGCCTTTGTGTGCAAATCTTGATATAATAACCATCATATTGACGTAAACTTGGAGTCACACGATGCTATGTTATGTGGTCCTCCCACTACGACTCGGGAAAGCTTGCAGTTCATTAGGCTACAGATGAAATAAGTTATGATGCGCTTCACCGGGTGGTGAAAGTGCACAGTGATGAACTTGATGCTCCTTTCCAATAAATACGGAGGGTCTTATTCTGGTGACATGATCAATGCTTGGCTGCCGTTTTTTTTTTTGCTTTTTATCCGCAACAAGTAAATTTGATAAACACGTCTCTGGTGGGAAAATGTGTATATTGTTGTTATGCAGATTTTAGAATATTCGCATGAAAATCTGTTGCCAATTGGATGGAAACCTGGCTAGTGATGACTTTCTCATCAATTTTAAATGTGAAAATTAAGAAGCTATAGCTTAGCAAGGGGACAAAAGGATTATGTTCTCTGTTGTCAGATTACATTTTGCAGTGGTTTAAGAAACCTGAAAACATACTGTTCTCTGTATCACAGGTTTTTATCTTACAATGTCTTTCCCCTTTTTTTAGGTGTGAATAAAGTAAGTTTTGTTATGCTTTTTATTCATATTAATACCATTGTGATCATTTTCCAAAAAACGCTTTTGTGTGTGTAATATATAAATTCAGATTTGGTTTAGCGGGTTACCAATAATACATTCATGCATTTACGCTCAAACATCTCTTCGCTTCCCCTCTACTTTCTCAATCAGCAACTTTCTCCTTTGTTCATTTTCCTTGAGTAAGTGTAACTGTTGGCATGATATGGTTGCATGCATGGGGTAATATTTACAGTTCATCTTTACTTCCCCTTTTGGCTTAAAGGGAAATGTCACAGTTTTTCAACTTCATATTCATCATCTACAGCACCACCCCAACATCAACATATGTGAAAATGGCGCTTTCCTATGTTTTGTAGTAAAAAAGACAGAAGGTAAGCGTTTCCAATGACATCATCGGTATGCATCGTGTTTTAACCAATTATGAGTAGGCATTGCCTACATATGTTGGGGTGGTGTTGGAGATAATGAAGTTGAAAATGTAAATGTCCCTTTAAACCAGTCATGCAGGCTTTCAAGTCAGCACTGAGACCTAGAGAGCAGTATCTAACATTCATATCATGTAGGCTAGACCTTTTCATTGTTATGCTATTGTTTTTTAAATGACCGATTTACATGTAGTTATAACATTTGAAGTACCAGTGTACATCAATGCTCTCATCTCCAGCACCCTAAAATCTGTGTTGGATACTGTACACTGATACTGGTAACACAATGCCTCTGAATCATTGACTCTAGTTTTTCAATTGTGATAAAAAGGAAGAGTCTTCAAACCCATTCTTCAACAATAATGGGTGAAATGGAACATACCCCTGAGATATCATTTTTTTATATATGTCATAGGCACAGAGTTACTGTTCTACAAGTAAATGTCTTTGTTTAAACTTTAAAATCTTGGTCTACATAAAAGTGTAGCGAGACTGTAGAAATGGCAACACTAATGTTCAGATGCTAATGAGGCCATGAATTACCTGTGATTTGTTTTCCTTTCTATAGTAGCCCCAGAGATGAAAATGATGAGGTCTACTCAGCCCAGCTACTCACCCCTACACCACCTGGCTGTTTGGCTTTATCACTAGAGCCCACACTCTCTTCCACAGGTGGCCCATCCTCCTAGACAACTGCATCTGCCGGAACTCTCTGTAAATACTATGTACATATATATACATATCTTAATTGTAGTCGGTCTGGGGAAGCTGCCGGAATACTCACATGCAGAGCATTTATCTTGTAGCAGAAGCTTGAGGGTGGAGAAGGTGAATTTATGAAACGACTGAGTTAGTAAGCTACCTTGTGTAAACCTTTTGAAACAACAGGATTTTTCTAGAGTTAAACTTGAGGCTTATTAAGTAAGAGTAATGAGTTGGTAATAATTATAACACTTAATTTTTGGAATGAGAAAATACTGAGTAGTTTTAGTCACAAGTTGGCTTCCTAACTCGTGAATTCTGCTTGGCGAAATATAATAGTGTACATTTTCTCATGTGAAAAATACTTCTCCCTGAGCAACCAGTTTCTCAGTTATAGAGATTGATCTCCCTTGGGAAACCTGGCCAACCTGACTCACCAACACAAAGAAAAGCATTCTATTACGTTCCATTAAGATTATTTTTATATTCATGTATATGTACTTGACAACTTAACAAATCTTGATAGAGGAATGATTCCATAGTATACAACAAAATGCCAAGAATTATGATGAGTCTTGGGGACAAATATTCATTCATACCACCTCAATGGTCATCAAAGATTCCATGGCACTTGCTGCAATAGTAGGGATTTTAACCCCAATGTGTTGGGAAAACTCCCAACCTAGATTCTCGCCACTGTGGTCACAAAATCATTCTCAACCTCTCCTCTACTGAAAAACTATTGTAGGTTGTAAATTACAATATTTTAAATCAACTTACCTGTTAAAATAAAGGTCCATCAATAACAAGAATGTCCAGCAGGAAGCTTATTTTGCTTACACTTGCAGATACAGGGTTGTCTCAGAAGGAAATATTATGCAGTGTTTTGGTGCATCTGTTCTCTGATCTGTTTAATGTTTGGGGTGAGGTTTATGCAGATGGAAAAGGTCTGTAATCAAGCACCAAAGATAGTTCATGCTGCCTTGTGATTGTGCAATGTCTTCCTGAAACATCCTCGGCCTCAACTCAACTAAACTGATGGCTAGTCGCCAACCATAAAATAAAGGTCAATCGATAACAAGAATGTCCAGCAGGATGCTTATTTTGCTTACACTTGCAGATACAGGGTTGTCTCAGAAGGATGCAGTGTTTAGATGCATCTGTTCACTCTGATCTGTTTAATGTGTGGGGTGAGGTTTATGCACCCGGAAATGATGTAATCAAGCACCAAAGACAGTTCCTGCTGCCTTGTGATTGTGCAATGTCTTCCTGAAACATCCTCGGCCTCACCTCAACTAAACTAATGGCTGGTCGCCAACCATTTCGTTGGTGTTTTATATGTTCATGTGTATTTGACCACCATTCAAATACATGAAAGCTAATTGTTGTTTTTTCTGATTTAATTTGTTTACATCTATTGACCACAATGTAATGTTAGTTTATTAAACTACTGAAAATCTATCAAAGATGGTTGTCTCCTCATTTAACAAATATGTTATTATGGCCCAATAATGTCTCACCAATTTAGTGGAAATTGCTTTCCTCAATTACTCATATTTCAAACCAGTGGTCAAGAAGAGAACGAGCCAAGGCAAGAAAGCGACCAGACCAGAGTGAAATAACCATACTTTGTGTAATAGTGATGTAAAAAAAAACTCAAAATGAATACGTTCTCAAGGAATTGTATCTACTACTACACTATAGTAGATCAATAAATGCAGACGTCCCTTCCATGAAAGGTACATTATTCATGTTTGTTTTTAAAGGAATTGTATCTACTACACATTATTTCCATGTGGAAATTGTACGGGTACTTTTAATACATTCCAATGGCGTCTGACAAATCACACAAACTTGTTATTTCCCGGGATGATGACAAACCAATGAGATTTGAGTAGAGGCGGGATGTTTACACTTAGCCAATGAAAATACCAGCCAATGTGTGTCACTTACAGTGTCAGATTGTAGACAGTCGCACCTTTTTCAGAACTGTAAAGACAGAAGTTCCATCTGATCGAAGAGTTTATTTCTGTGTCCATCAATTCCTCAGGTATGTATCTATAAATTATTTACCAAAGGCATCGAATGTAGATTGAATTAGCTAGCTATGTGTTCCAAGAGTGAACCAAATGCGACTGCTCATCGATAGGAATCAATGAACTCTGAAAGTCATTCAAGATAGGGAGATGTATAGTGAATAGCAGCACCTGGATCGAATGTGGCAGTTGTTGACTCGCGTGCTCTGACTCACATCGTCAGCCATAGCTAGCTGAACCCAAACGAGCCTAGTAATGTACATCTGAGTGTGTTGTTTTATGTAGCTAGCTAGATTAATAATTGAGTGTCGACCAGTCAGTCTGTATTTGACCTATCTAGCCATCTGTACACCTGGAATCAGGTGGGTGTTTGTTTACTTTGTTCATTGTCAAACACTGACCTCTGCATTGCTCTGTGCACTGTGAGGTGCATGCCTGTAGCCCTTTCACTCTGGAATGTATTAATCTTGCTTAGCTAGCTAATAATGTCCCTCCAACTACAATATATTGAATCAAATAAAGCCTTGGATATCCCAATGCTGCCTAATCTGTAAAATTAATACTGACACTTTCTATTGTGGAAGGCTTAGCTCTATTATCTTAATGGTTTGCATAACTATGTTGAAGTTTACCTGCTGAGGCATGTCTTTTCCTGGTGTCAAACATTTCTGTAGCTTTTTTTTTTTCAGCCAAGAAACCTAACCACCAATCAAACTACCACACCTACCTTCTGTTGGGATTCCAAGTAATGTTTGTGTGTTTTAGTAATTTACAGTGACTGTGAAAGAGCCGTGGGGGCTGAAGGAGTGTCACCCCAAGGAGTCATTCACAGGCTGAGCAAGTGTCATCTGCTTGAGACCTGTGAGTGCCCCTGGGCTGAGAGGATAGTGTGTGGTGTTGGTAGGGTGATGAGGTAAACAGCTCTCTTGGAGGTGATCAAATGGATGACATATGCCTACTGTGAGAGTTAACCTCCATGTATAGAATGGGCACTCCAGAAGTACTTTCAGCCTTTTGGTGAATTGCATTATTGTGGAGACACGGACCCGTTAATAGATAGAGGGCTTTAGGTAGCATGAGGTGGCTTCTGTGCTGATGCTCTGTTGTCATCTAGGCCCATAATTAGATTGCCCTTTTGGAGGCAAGGATCTGATGAATAGCAAATGCAGTGTGCATCAACTGGCGTCATTTCAGAAGAGGCGAAGTGAGGTAACCATGGAAACACCCGTCCAGGTCCTGCAAATTGAGCATTATGCCCTGTCTCATTCCTTAGCAAACATTGGCAATGATTCCATTGTCATATGATGGTTGGTCTTCTGAAAGTGGCCTGTTTCCTTGAATTGTTTAAATTGAATCATGAACTGTAGAACTGTTATTTTTCTTGATATTTATTAAAACCCTCTCTGAGCATGGAACGACTTGTAGTCATGGCAAGACAACAATGTAGCGTTGTTAAATTCGTAAATGTCCTGGCACCCAGCGAAGATTTCCTGTGTCATAAAATCTGCTTTATAATGGTTCTTCTATCTTACAATTGTATTCTCAATACACCTGCTTATACATGACCAGAACGACTCATTACTTCAGCTCCCACAACCTATTGCTAAGACTTTGTGGTGTAGTGTAGCCCACACACTACACCATGGTCTTTCTAGGCTACACAAACAGGGCTCTATTCAATCCGCATCGTGGAAGTTCAGCTTAACAGCGTGATTGAGATTTAAAAGCAATGTTCCCGCTTTAGTGGAGACCGCATTCACGGTAAGCGCTGCATATGTCGGCTCAAACGGAAATTACCTTTACATTTCTATCGCGGAATCTGTAACGCTTCAGCTTTACAGCTTGAATAGAGCCCATAGTCATGGCAAATTATTTCTAAGAAGGTTAGAAGGCTTACGTAACGTTGCCGATTATCCTCTTAATGGAGGAGAAAGGCGAACTCTGTGCTTGATTTAGGCCTAGTTGTGATCCCAGAGGCTGTCTTGCCCAACTTCTCCTGACTAGTATGTCAGCCTACTGATTCTAGTAGATTAAAACACGCAGACAGGCAGAATTTGCAATCCCATTGACTGTATCCCTATTGTCAGCAATATGATACTGGTCAAATGGTTAGCAAATGGTAAGTGCTGTGTGTGTGTAGTAACTGGTGACTGAGTTATGTGTACACTACAGATTGAGAACAAGGGCCTGAGATATGGGTGTATGCTATGCAGTCACCTGTGTAGTCTGTGTTCCCTGTAGGCGTTGTCTTCCGTCATAGACGTGCTCTTCCTCCAGATAAGGTGTATTGCCCAGACACGACCTGATTAAACTTGCATGGCCTGTCCGGTGTGTGTGTGTGTGTGCCTAGGATCAACCCTTCAACCTGGAGCCATCGCCAGACAGGAGAGCTTTATTATGTCCAACCATGGCACCCTCACATTGGCCTTTACATCTAGGGTATTTCTTCCTGTTTAATGGTAGCTGTTTTGGGCACCGTTGGATGTGGCGATTCTATTTTTCTTATGCTTCTTTAAAATGTAATCAGTCTGGTGTGTCAAGTCAGAGGCCCTTCATCAGGTTTTTCTATTCCCCTCTCTCTCTCTCCCATGCTTTCTTTGCCAACTTCGCTGCCATTCCTCCTATTCCCCCCTTTCTCCCTGTTCTCTTTTCTTATTTATCTTCTTTATTCTCCTATTTTAGTTTTTCTTCTGGCTGCAAATGAATGGGGTACTTAAATCCCTCCCTTAGCCAGTCTTTCAGATTCAATATGGTCTCTGCAAAGGTCAGGGTACTGGTCAGCACTACTGCATGGCTTTCTTCCCACGAGGGACTACCAGCCAGTGGTCAGGGCAGAGCTGTCACAGTCTAGGCTAAATGGCTGCCTGCCATTATTCACTATTCAGCCAGACTGCCTTTAGAAGCAACCTATCCTAGTGTCAGGTTGAGATCTGCAGAGAGGATGGGGTTTGACACAGGATGCATATGGGCAATTCCACGTTAACAGAATGACTCTGAGCCTCCTATTTTTCGCTTTAAAAGTATGCCAAACAAAAACAATTGATTGCAAAGTTAAACAAACCCTAAGCACAAGGATTACTTTTAACAATTTCCACTGAACATTTTTCAAAAACACAATTTCTTGAAGAACAGTGCAGATGTAAAATTAGGTAACAGAATTTTGGTAAAATCTCCCTCAGTTTTTTTATGTGACCACGTTTTCCAAAAACTCAGTTAGTTTGATAAAAAACGATTTTGGTTATTGAACTACAGTAAGTGAAGTGGATTAACACCCGGTAACAGGATGATGGTAACAGAATGACATCATGGGTCCCTGTTCTGTACAGAAATGCATAATTATGAATGTAATTCTCTTCATGGTGATGTATCCTGAACAGGTACACAAAGGTAGACAAATGTAATATATTCCTTTGCATGTTTGGGTATTATTCTACACACTGTCTATTATTCTAATGAGCTCCACCCCCAAACAAGATCCTGACCGGACCAAATCTGTACCAATCATGTTTTTTTCTGGATCAAAAAGGGCCTTAGGTGGTTGTCGTGGTAGGGGGCATGGCAGGGGCGTGCCAATGAGCTCAGTCGGCCGTTGCCGCAGCTACATTTTAGAATTGTTTAGCTAATTTTCTATTTATTTGTATTTGATTTTTATAGCTAATTTCCTACAATTCTGCACATTTTGCCATGCAGTTGAGTCAACATGTTGTAGTTTTTTAAAGCAAATTTCCTGGGATTCTACATATTCTGCCATGGAGCTGAGATTTCTTTTGTTGTTGCAGTTTTAAAGCTAGTTTCCTACAATTCTATACACTTTGCCATGGATAATGTTCAGTCTCCTAGAGATTAACATACTTTTGTGTGAAAAGTGCAAATCAATCCCAGAATAACAGCAAAGGACCGTGTGAAGATGCTGGAGGAAACAGGTACAAAGTATCTATATCGACAGTAAAACGAGTCCTATATCGACATAACCTGAAAGGCCGCTCAGCAAGGAAGAAGCCACTGCTCCAAAACCGCCATAAAAAAGCCAGACTACGGTTTGCAACTACACATGGGGACAAAGATCATACCTTTTGGAGAAATGTCCTCTGGTCTGATGAAACAAAAATAGAACTGTTTGGCCATAATGACCATCGTTATGTTTGGATGAAAAAGGGGTAGGCTTGCAAGCCGAAGAACACCATCCCAACCGTGAAGCACGGGGGTGGCAGCATCATGCTGTGGGGGTGCTTTGCTGCAGGAGGGACTGGTGCACTTCACAAAATAGATGGCATCATGAGGAAGGAAAATTATGTGGATATATTGAAGCAACATCTCAAGACATCAGTCAGGAAGTTAAAGCTTGGTCGCAAAATGACCCCAAGCATACTTCCAAAGTTGTGGCAAAATGGCTTAAGGACAACAAAGTCAAGGTATTGGAGTGGCCATCACAAAGCCCTGACCTCAATCCTATAGAAAATGTGTGGGCAGAACTGAAAAGGTGTGTTTGAGCAAGGAGGCCTACAAACCTGACTCAGTTACACCAGCTTTGTCAGGAGGAATGGGCCAAAATTCACCCAACTTATTGTGGGAAGCTTGTGGAAGGCTACCTGAAAATTAAACAATTTAAAGGCAATGCGACCAAATACTCATTGAGTGTATGTAAACTTCTCACCCACTGGGAATGTGATGAAAGAAATGAAAGCTGAAATAAATCATTCTCTCTACTATTATTCTGACATTTCATTTTCTTAAAATAAAGTGGTGATCCTAACTGACCTAAGACGGGGAATTTTTACTAGGATTAAATGTCAGGAATTGTGAAAAACATAGTTTAAATGTATTTGGCTAAGGTGTATGTAAACTTCCAACTTCAACTGTATGTGTAAAGATTACTTTTGTTTTATTCTATAAACTACCGACAAAATTTATCCCAAATTCCAAATAAAAATATTGTCATTTAGAGCATTTATTTGCTGGTCAAAATAACAAAAAAGATGCAGTGTTGTCAGACCTCGATTAATGCAAAGAAAATAAGTTCATATTAATTTTTAAACAACACAATACTAATGTTTTAACTTAGGAAGAGTTCAGAAATCAATATTTGGTGGAATAACCCTGATTTTCAATCAAAGCTTTCATGCGTCTTGGCATGCTCTCCACCAGTCTTTCACATTGATGTTGGGTGACTTTATGCCACTCCTGGTGCATAAATTCAAGCACCTCAGCTTTGTTTGATGGCTTGTGACCATCCATCTTCCTCTTGATCACATTCCAGAAGTTTTCAATGGGGTTCAGGTCTGGAGATTGGGCTGGCCATGACAGGGTCTTGATCTGGTGGTCCTCCATCCACACCTTGATTGACCTGGCTGTGTGGCTTGGCACATTGTCCTGCTGGAAAAACCAATCCTCAGAGTTGGGGAACAATGTCAGAGCAAAAATAAGCAAGTTTTCTTCCAGGACAACCTTGTACGTGGCTTGATTCATGCGTCCTTCACAAAGACAAACCTGCCCGATTCCAGCCTTGCTGAAGCACCCCCAGATCATCACCAATCCTCCACCAAATTTCACAGTGGGTGCGAGACACTGTGGCTTGTAGGCCTCTCCAGGTCTCCGTCTAACCATTAGACGACCAGGTGTTGGGCAAAGCTGAAAATTGGACTCATCAGAGAAGATTACCTTACTTGTAGAAAATAGTACAAATAAAGAAAAACCCTTGAATGAGTAGGTGTGTTCAAACTTTTGACATAATATATATATATATATATTATTTATTTATTTATTTTATATATATATATATATATATATATATATATATATGTCTTCTTGGGTATGACGCTACAAGCTTGGCACTCCTGTATTTGGGGAGTTTCTCTCATTCTTCTCTGTAGATCCTCTCAAGCTCTGTCAGGTTGGATGGGGATCGTTGCTACACAGCTATTTTCAGGTCTCTTCAGAGATGTTCGATCGGGTTCAAGTCCGGGCTCTGGCTGGGCCACTCACGGACATTCAGAGACTTGTCCCGAAGCCACTCCTGTGTTGTCTTGGCTGTGTGCTTAGGGTCGTTGTCCTGTTGGAAGGTGAACCTTCGCCCCAGTCTGAGGTCCTGCGCGATCTCTGGAGCAGGTTTTCATCAAGGATCTCTCTGTACTTTGCTCCGTTCATCTTTCCCTCAATCCTGACTAGTCTCCCAGTCCCTGCCGCTGAAAAACATCCCCACAGCATGATGCTGCCACCACTATGCTTCACCGTAGGGATGGTGCCAGGTTTCCTCCAGACGTGACGCTTGGCATTCAGGCCAATGAGTTCATCAGACCAGAGAATCTGGTTCCTCATTGTCTGAGAGTCCTTTAGGTGCCTTTTAGCAAACTCCAAGTGGGCTGTCATGTGCCTTTTACTGAGGAGTGGCTTCCCTCTGGCCACTACCATAAAGGCCTGATTGGTGGAGTGCTGCAGAGATGGTTGTCCTTCTGGAAGGTTCTCCCATCTTCACAGAGGAACTCTAGAGCTCTGTCAGAGTGACCATCGGGTTCTTGGTTACCTCCTTGACCAAGGCCCTTCTCCCCCAATTGCTCAGTTTGGCCGGGCAGCCAGCTCTAGGAAGAGTCTTGGTGGTTCCAAACATCTTCAATGCTGCAGAAATTTTTTGGTACCCTTCCCCAGGATGCACCTGAGCTCAATTTCGAGTCTCATAGCAAAGGGTCTGAATACTTATGTAAATGTGATATTTCAGTTTGTTATTTTTAATAAATGTCTAAAAACCTGTTTTTGCGTTGTCAGTATGGGGTATTGTGTTTAGAATAAGGCTGTAACGTAACAAAATGTGGAAAAAGTAAAGGGGTCTGAATACTTTCCGAATGCACTGTATTTTATGTATTTCTCCTCTTCCCCAGCCGGCTGTAAGAAGATCCTTCATCTCCTCTTGACTTGGTGACCTCGTTTTCTACCATGGCTGAGAAGCTAGCTTCCTTCGGTAAGCTGCTGCTCAGGCGACGGGCGCTGGACTGTGACCAGGAAGAGAGCCACTTTGCCCGCTGCCTGAGCACACTGGACCTGATAGCCCTGGGGGTGGGCGCCACTCTGGGGGCCGGCGTCTATGTTCTGGCTGGAGAGGTGGCCAGGGAGAAGGCCGGCCCAGCCATCGTGCTCTGCTTCCTCATTGCAGCGCTCTCCTCCGTCCTTGCTGGTCTGTGTTATGCTGAGTTTGGTGCCCGTGTGCCCAAGACTGGTTCAGCCTACATGTACAGCTATGTGACAGTGGGGGAGATCTGGGCCTTCATCACTGGTTGGAACCTCATCCTCTCCTATGTCATAGGTGAATCAGAAGTGGGAGTTAGTGAAAATGAGGGATTGGAGATTAAGAAGGGAAGTGATTCAAAATGGGGGGAGGGAATGTTTGATCTATTTTTATTTTATAAAGTTGCAAGAAACACATTTGAGGTAAAAACAGGATATGAGAGGTGCCATGATAATATAAATCTCTCATAATTGTTCTCATTAAAACTCTAAGCAGTGATATTACTGCAATACCCAGACAGTCACTTGAGATTATCAGCAATTCTGAGTAGCTGAATAATTAGACTGAATAATTAAGATTCTGATGAGGACTTGAGCTGAAGAGGTTTTACAGGCAGATCAAGCTCTTGGTTCTCTAGAAGGATTGCCTCTTGACAGAAGGGCCCTTGAAAGTGTGACTCCAACTTCTGTCGTTATAAATCTCTCCCTCTCTTCCTCTCCCTCTCTTCCTCTTCTTCTCCCCCTCTTTCAGGCACAGCCAGTGTTGCTCGGGCCTGGAGCTCCACCTTTGACAACCTGGTTGAACAGAAGATCTCAGACTTCTTCAGAGCCTCCATGTCCATCAAGGTCCCTGGGAAGATTCTGGCTGAATACCCAGACCTCTTCGCCCTCATCCTGATATTGCTGCTCACTGGTGAGGCTCTCATTTAACATAACACCGAACACATTTGAAAGCGTTATACACACCCTCAGCGAAAGTACAGCTCCAATAAGAGGGCTCTTCATTCCTGCCTTAGGGCATGCGAAGAGTGCCCATTCAGGGTAGCATTATGATTGGCTGTGCTTGGTCGCTGCCCACGTCTGGGGCTCTGACACTTTGCCAACACCCACACAGGCCTGCTGGCGTTTGGCGTGAGCGAGTCGGCCCTGGTGAACAAGATCTTCACAGGGGTCAACCTGGTGGTTCTGGGCTTCATCATCATCTCAGGACTGGTGAAGGGAGACCGCGCAAACTGGAACCTCACTGTTGAGGACTTTGTCAACACAACCAACATCACTGATGCAGAGTGAGTCGCCGACAGACAGAAGAGCTCATGAGGAGGGGTTTATTAAGCAGGAATTATGTTTTATAATCAGCCCTATGGAGTAGTTGAAAGTATGAAAGTCTGTTTACAAAAACATATTAACACCTTTAGAGACATCAACCATTAGGGAGACCAGTTCTCTTCCTGAAGACTGAATATGATATGATTATCTTTATCTTTGGCATTTTTGTTTATTTCCCAGGCTACTTCAATAACTTTATTAAAAAATCATAATAATAATTTTAAAAATTATAACCAGTCCCCTGCTCTCTTTCTTTGTCCAGGATCATTAAAGAGAAGTTTGGTACCGGGGGTTTTGCTCCATTCGGCTTCAGTGGAGTCCTGTCTGGTGCAGCAACTTGCTTCTACGCCTTTGTGGGTTTTGACTGCATCGCAACCACAAGTAGGCCATTTCTGCCATTTCCTCTCATCTCTTGGCACCAATGATATACACTGAGTGTAAAAAACGTCTACTAAATGGCTAAAAAGTTCAGGTAAAATGTACAGTGAGGGAAAAAAGTATTTGATCCCCTGCTGATTTTGTACGTTTGCCCACTGACAAAGAAATGATCAGTCTATAATTTTAATGGTAGGTTTATTTGAACAGTGAGAGACAGAATAACAACAACAAAATCCAGAAAAAACGCATGTCAAAAATTTTATAAATTGATTTGCATTTTAATGAGGGAAATAAGTATTTGACCCCTCTGCAAAACATGACTTAGTACTTGGTGGCAAAACCCTTGTTGGCAATCAGAGGTCAGACGTTTCTTGTAGTTGGCCACCAGGTTTGCACACATCTCAGGAGGGATTTTGTCCCACTCCTCTTTGCAGATCTTCTCCAAGTCATTAAGGTTTCGAGCCTGACGTTTGGCAACTCGAACCTTCAGCTCCCTCCACAGATTTTCAATGGGATTAAGGTCTGGAGACTGGCTAGGCCACTCCAGGACCTGAATGTACTTCTTCTTGAGCCACTCCTTTGTTGCCTTGGCCGTGTGTTTTGGGTCATTGTCATGCTGGAATACCCATCCACGACCCATTTTCAATGCCCTGGCTGAGGGAAGGAGGTTCTCACCCAAGATTTGACAGTACATGGCCCCGTCCATCGTCCCTTTGATGCTGTGAAGTTGTCCTGTCCTTAGCAGAAAAACACCCCCAAAGCATAATGTTTCCACCTCCATGTTTGACGGTAGGGATGGTGTTCTAGGGGTCATAGGCAGCATTCCTCCTCCTCCAAACACGGCGAGTTGAGTTAATGCCAAAGAGCTCGATTTTGGTCTCATCTGACCACAACACTTTCACCCAGTTCTCTTCTGAATCATTCAGATGTTCATTGGCAAACTTCAGACGGGCCTGTATATGTGCTTTCTTGAGCAGGGGGACCTTGCGGGCACTGCAGGATTTCAGTCCTTCACGGCGTAGTGTGTTACCAATTGTTTTCTTGGTGACTATGGGCCCAGCTGCCTTGAGATCATTGACAAGATCCTCCTGTGTAGTTCTGGGCTGATTCCTCACCGTTCTCATGATCATTGCAACTCCACGAGGTGAGATCTTGCATGGAGCCCCAGGCCGAGGGAGATTGACAGTTCTTTTGTGTTTCTTCCATTTGCGAATAATCGCACCAACTGTTGTCACCTTCTCACCAAGCTGCTTGGCGATGGTCTTGTAGCCCATTCCAGCCTTGTGTAGGTCTACAATCTTGTCCCTGACATCCTTGGAGAGCTCTTTGGTCTTGGCCATGGTGGAGAGTTTGGAATCTGATTGATTGATTGCTTCTGTGGACAGGTGTCTTTTATACAGGTAACAAACTGAGATTAGGAGCACTCCCTTTAAGAGTGTGCTCCTAATCTCAGCTCGTTACCTGTATAAAAGACACCTGGGAGCCAGAAATCTTTCTGATTGAGAGGGGGTCAAATACTTATTTCCCTCATTAAAATGCAAATCAATTTATAACATTTTTGACATGCGTTTTTCTGGATCTTTTTGTTGTTATTCTGTCTCTCACTGTTCAAATAAACCTACCATTAAAATTATAGTCTGATCATTTCTTTGTCAGTGGGCAAACGTACAAAATCAGCAGGGGATCAAATACTTTTTTCCCTCACTGTACCTGTGGTTGACGACTATCAAATCTAAACCGTCTAGATCTTTTTCCACAGGTGAAGAGGCCAAGAACCCCATGCGTTCCATCCCCATTGGTATCGTGGCTTCTCTGCTCATCTGTTTCTTCGCCTACTTCGGGGTGTCTGCAGCTCTCACCCTCATGATGCCCTACTACCTGCTGAACAGAGAGAGCCCGCTGCCAGAGGCCTTCAGCTATGTGCACTGGGACCCTGCCCGCTACATCGTGGCTGTGGGCTCCCTCTGTGCCCTCTCCACCAGGTGACTGACACAGACAGTTTCCCATAGACTTCTCATGGCCGTGTTTGCATTTCTATCAAAGGTTGAAAGGCACCCAGATGATGGCAGGCTATTTTTAGTTTGATGTTGATTTTTGGGTTTGAACAATTGTTTATTTTCATATACTGTGCTTTCAATTCCTTTTGTTGTTATTTGTTATTTGCATGCAAGGAACGGACACAAATTATGATGTGGAATATATAAACCCAAAAGTTTTTGTTTCGTGTGTTAAATGTTGATGATATTTCAGGGTCATTCACTGTTTGTGGACTGACCAGAGACATGGCTGGCCTCTGTGTGATGGCGACGACTTTGTCTGAGTCCCTCTCTCTTTCTCTCTCTTCTCTGTCCAGTTTACTGGGCTCAATGTTCCCCATGCCCCGTGTAATCTATGCAATGGCTGAGGACGGCCTGCTCTTCCGCTTCCTCTCAAAGATGAACATCAAAACCAAGACCCCCCTGTTAGCCACCATCGTGTCGGGTATTGTAGCAGGTAAGCTTAGCCCATACATTACTAAGTATCTCCTTTGTGCACCAACACTTTGTTTTCTGTCAACTGTTTAGCTGCTACTCTATGCTACTTAGAATTGAAATGTATTCTTTCTCTCTGCAGCCGTGATGGCATTCCTGTTTGATCTGGCAGCCCTGGTGGACCTGATGTCGATAGGAACTCTCCTGGCATACACATTAGTGGCTGTGTGCGTGCTTATCCTCAGGTTAGTGCAGAGGATCTTGGCTAACACACTTTTAGTTTTTTAAAGAGTCATGCACAAACGCTTTTGATTTCTCAAATATCCAACTCTTCTCAAGTATCCAACTGAAAATGAAAATGTTCTCAGTCAACGTAACTAGTAAAATAAGGGTTGACTGAATTCTACCTATGTACATTTGTTCACAGGTACCAACCAGGCACCCTGGGCATCAGTGGTGCCAGTGAGAAGCTGGTGGAGCTGGTGGGTCTGCAGAGGGCAACCATGGCAGAGGGGGACAGTGGGGACGAGTTTGGCCAGGAGGGTGAGGGGGAGACCAGGCCCCTCAGGGAGCGGTTCATCCTCAAGATGCTGCTGGTGCCCAGCTGTGATGTCCCCACCAAGACCTCCGGACTCATCGTCTACATCACTACCGCTGTCATCTGTGAGTCTCCCCCTTTTGACAGGGTGAAGTGTTGATGGTGTTTAAAGCTATATTTAAGTGAGCCTTTTTGGAGAGCTTTGGCATACTGGAAGCAGCTGTCTGATAAAGCAAATGAGAGAATGCATTGAATTGATTTAATAAGATTCCACTATACATGCTAAGTTAACAATCTCTTTTATCTCTTTAGCTGTGGTGTTCACCCTGCTGTGCGTAGTGCTGGCTGTGTGGGGGGCAGAGGTGGTGAGTGGCCACCCCATGTGGGTCACTATATGTGCGATACTGACCTTCCTCTCCTTCCTGTGTGTGGCCATCATCTGGAGACAGCCCCCGAGCAGACAGTCACTCACCTTTAAGGTATGAGGGAGTTTTCAGTCACTACTTATTTCACGTAAATGTTCCTGAGAAACCTGTTCCTATTTACTATAGGTTTCCTCATTCTCCTAGTAACCACTTGGTCGGTCTGTACTTGGATCATCAGCTCTTAGCTTAAAAGTGGTTTTGAAAATATGTTGTAGTTGTTAGACTTGATTATGTCCAGTGTGTGGTTTAATGTAGAAAATAAACATTTTGAATCCCTTCAGGTACCCCTACTCCCAGTGTTGCCATTGGTCAGTATCTTTGTCAACATTTACCTCATGATGCAGCTGGATGGGCCAACGTGGTGTCGCTTTGCAGTGTGGATGGCTATTGGTTAGTGAGATTACCACCCCTATTATTTATTTGCCTCTTGCTCTTGTGCTTATCTGTGTTATTAAGGAACTTCGTGTTACGCAAGTACAGTGTGTCACTGAGCTTCACCTTTGGCATGCTGTAGTTTATCACTGTTTAAATCAGTTTTTCTTCCTTCTTCCCTCTTTCGCCTAGGTTTTCTCATCTACTTTGCTTACGGGATTAAGAACAGCTCAGAGGCCACACCCAACCGCGGTAAATTTGAGCCAGTCCTCCGATCAAAGAGTCCCATCTACCTAGCAGAGGATGACAGTGAGGTGGAAGGGATGACGCCTTAGAGGAGAATAGTGGTGGAGTAGATGCTTTCCGCCCCAACGACATACCACGAAAGCCTTGAACAGGTGTATATTCTCATTGCGTTCATTTTCAACTGTCTGGGCATTGTGCCACAACAGACTGTCTTAACTTTCCGTCTCTGTTATTAGGTCATTCTTGTGATTTAGAGAGGACATCAAATGTTAAATAGATTTTGGATATACAGTACATTTGGAAAGTATTCAGACCCCTTGACTTTTTCCACATTTTGTTACGTTGCAGCCTTATTCTCAAATGGATTAAATGAATGTTTTCCCTCATCAATCTACACACAATACCCCATAATGACAAAGGGAAAAGAGATTTATAGAAATGTTAGCAAATGTATTAAAAATAAAAAACAGATTATTTACATAAGTATTCAGACCCTTTGCTATGAGACTCAAAATGTAGCTCAGGTGCATCCTGTTTCCATTGATCATCCTTGAAATGTTTCTACAACTTGATTGGAGTCCACCTGTGGTAAATTCAATTGATTGGACATGATTTGGAAAGGCACACACCTGTCTATATAACGTCCCACCGTTGACTGCATGTCAGAGCAAAAACCAAACCATGAGGTTGAAGGAATTGTCCATAGAGCTCTGAGACACGATTGTGTCGAGGCACAGATCTGGTGAAGGGTACCAAAAAAATTCTGCAGCATTGAATGTCCCCAAGAACACAGTGGCCTCCATCATTCTTAAATAGAAGAAGTTTGGAACCACCAAGACTCTTCCTAGAGCTGGCCTCCCGGCCAAAATGAGCAATCAGGGGAGAAGGGCCTTGGTCAGGGAGGTGACCAAGAACCCGATGGTCACTCTGACAGAGCTCCAGAGTTGCTCTGTGGAGATGGGAGAACCTTCCAGAAGGACAAACATCTCTGCAGCACTCCACCAATCAAGCCTTTATGGTAGAGTGGCCAGACGGATGCCACTCTTCAGTAAAAGGCACATGGAGTTTGCCTAAAGGTACCTAAAGACTCTCTGACCATGAGAAACAAGATTCTTTGGTCTGATGAAACCAAGATTGAACACTTTGGCCTGAATGCCAAGCGTCACATCTGGAGGAAACCTGGCACCATCCCTAGAGTGAAGCATAGTGGTGGCAGCATCATGCTGTGAGGATGTTTTTCAGCGGCAGGGACTGGGAGACTAGTCAGGATCGAGGGAAAGATGAATGGAGCAAAGTACAGAGAATGTACTCTAATGACGATGTACTCCATTGTAGAATAAGGCTGTAATGAAACAAAATGTGGAAAAAGTCAAGCGGGCTGAATACTTTCCGAATGCACTGTATATAGTATATACTCTGTCAACATGAACTTGCCAAATTTCTGCATATCTAAACGTTGAAAGGGTTCTGTGTCTCAATGATGATATCATTTAGGTGGTACAAATGCAAGGAAACAGAGTTTCTCCACTTTAACGTGTTATTCTAGTACCTGGTTGTTTCTGCCTCAATTCAGCCATTTTCCCCCAAATGACATCTGATCTCTAGTGTCTTTGCCCTGTGAGTTAGTGCTGGGTACGGTAAGCACATCAACAGGATATGTAGTGTTGTGTGTCCTCCTGTCCATGTAGGTCAGTCGCTATGGTTTGATTTGTGTTCTTTGAGGACAGGCAATACCAAGCAGAGGGTCAAACTAACCCAGAACTCACTGTCTGCACTATAGAGAGATGCTTGACAATTAAATTTAAATGTTGTCAAAATTGACAGTCCTTACCCAAAAGTAATATATATTTTTTTTAATTGAATCTTTTTTTTACAATCATTAATAGTATTTTTTGTTTTAATATTTATACAGAAACATGCATGTATATTTTTGTTGGATACATAAATATTTATGTATGTTAAAATGTTTTATTATTTTAAGCTGCCCAAATAATTATTTGGTGTAAAATGATGCTCTCAAAGGCTTAAAGGTAGAGATTGTGTAACGAGAGAAATAACTTATTTTTGTACCATGATGATATACAAACTACCAAATAGAGAGAGATGTCTATAGGAAGGTACACTGAATAAAAAGTCTTATATTACATTCAGCCCAAAACTGACAGAGAAGGGATTCCAATACATTAACCTAGTATAATTTCTGGAGTGCATGAAAAGGCTTTCAGGTTACATTCCTGTTTGAAGGTCTTAAGCTTGTGGTACATGTTACCCACATGATTGGTTCATTGTATCATTTTGTACATAACTGTTTGTATATAATTGTCCTAATTGTGTCATTGAAAGAGGGGCCAGGGTTTTAATCGCCAACTCTACTGAGTGTGTAACTGAATGTAGTAATAACTTGAACTGAAAAGCCCATCAGCCTCAGTCAAGTTTTGTTTCAAGAAACTTTGCTGTGGTGTTGTTTATATCTACTTTTTACTGTTTTTGCTGTTTAACTATGTGCCTCAGTCTACATTTTCAGTTGCTCACTTCAAGGGTATGAAACGGTTATTTGTATTCTATGCCTGTTAATGTTATTTGGAAATTGTCACATTTTACATTTTTTTTACATTTTAGTCATTTAGCAGATGCTCTTATCCAGAGCGATTTACAGTTTTAGTGAGTGCATATATTTTTCATACTGGCCCCCCGTGGGAATCGAACCCACAACCCTGGCGTTGTAAGCGCCATGCTCTACCAACTGAGCTACAGGAGGCCACATCACAGATAGATTATCAATTACAATTTATATCCCCTATTATTGGTATCAAATTAAGATTTTAAGATGAAGACAGTCCAATCTTATTGAAAAATGGGCTAGAAAACAAACTACAAATAGCTATGAGTGAAAGTCTACAATGTGGGGATATTTTCAGACTGTCATTGTTTCTAAAAACAACTTTGTAAAGAGAGGTTATGATTCCATTGACAATGAATATCGTTTGTGCTTGATCTTTCTCTGGTTGAGCTTTTACAATGTTGTTTTGTCAGTTGAACTGTTTACTTTCAAGTACATGTGTATAGCAGTTTGCTAATCCTTTTAATTCATAAGACATTATAAACTGGGTGGTTGGAGACCTGCTGAAAGCAGTGGTATATCAGACCGTATACCACGGGTGTGACAACATTTATTTTTACTGCTCTAATTACGTAGGTAACCAGTTTATAATAGCAAAAAGGCACCTCGGGGGTTTGTTGTATATTGCCAATATACCATGGCTAAGGGATGTATCCAGACACTCAGCGTTGCGTCGCACTTAAGAACAGCCCTTAGCCGTGGTATATTGGCCAAATACCACACCCCCTCGGGCCTTATTGCTTAATTATACATTCTATTGTGTTTTGTTGTTGGTATTTCTGTTTGGCCTGCTTGTTTTGTTACAGTTCTTTTTAACCATTTTTAATTATTCCAAAGGGCTCAAAGCTTGTTAAAGCATCATGTTGCAAAGCAAAGCATTGCACATTACATAAGTGTCTCCGTACAATGTTTTGTGGAGTAAGTTATAATATGATTTTTACAAACATTGCTTTTAACAGACAACCTTGAGGTCATCAGAACAGTATTTTTTTTTAAATAACAAGATGATTGTGTACTGACTGTTTCATGTCCATTTGTATTCTCACTCATGAGAACATGTACTGTTATACTATTTTATATCTGTAAATGTGTCGAGAGAAATGACTTTTGTAAGTAAACTTGAATTATTCAAAATGAAATCTGATTTGTCTTAACTTTCATTTATTATTATTTTTCCAGGCTTTCTTTAAAAGGTGGCTTCAACACAAATTATCCAAATGTATGTTGATTGTTGCCTTGGTGTCCTAACTTGTTCAATCAAAATGGAATCTTATGGCAAGACTGCAACTCCCAGACATAGTTTGTTGTGGTGTATTTTCGTTTCCTATGTTGACAACCAGCTGATTTTCCTGTGTCTTTAAATGTCCTGCCATTATTCTTCAACAAGCAGCAGCTAGGTTCGATGTTTTTTTGGACAGAAAGAAACCCTCGAACATTGGATACAATTAACCATTGGGATGCGTAGCTAAATCTTTTAAGTACTTGTTTTATACCGGCACGGTCTTCGAAACTGTGAGGTTATTAGTAAGATTAAGGGTAGAGATATCGCTGTTTGTCTTTTCTGTTCCCACAGTTCCGCTTTTCCGCCGCAGTCCGATATTTTCAGCTATCCTTAGCTAGCTTTTTTGATTTTAGCCAGGTAACTAGCTAGCTAATAAGTTAACTTTACCTTTCTGTCAATGTTTCCGTAATGAGCTTCTTCACTCAAACTTAATCGTTAGTGAAGTATATGTTTTCTTCAAGAAACCAACCTTGTAAATTGCGCAACACAACCCATAAGTAACGTTAGCTAGCTAACTTAGCTCCTTGCTAGCTAGCAATGTTACTAGTTACATATATTGACCGGCAGTAGCAGAGGGTTTTGAGTAAAAAATAACAAATCCGTTAAGGTTAAAGCAACGAGTTTAGAGCCATCTAATTAATGTGTTTGTGACTGTTAATAGCCAGCTAACTAAGGTCGTGTTGGCAAGCTACTGACGCTAGCTGGCCAATTAGCTAATTTCTAGCCAAATGATAGCTAAATAGCTACTGTCTGACAGTGAGTGTATTATTGGCAGACAGTGGTTGATTTGCCAGATACGCTTGTCACCTTGCTACCTACTAGCCGCCATCGTTCGCAGATCTCACATGAACGGGAAAATCTAGCAACCAATTTGTTTTACGTTGGTCGCGCTTGAGTAGGTGGCTACACTGTGGAAAGCAGAGAAGGAAAGCGGGGTGAGAGTAGTGAAACGCACACAGTGCTCTGTGCCAGGGGTTTGGCCCCGTCTCAACCAGCGAAGCGCAATACACTCTGTTCTGTTCAGAGCGGCTTCAGAACCATGACAACTCAACGGGATCTCGATATGGTGAATATTCATTGCAACCCAACACAATCCTTACTGCATAAGACTCAATGCTGTGCCCCGTATGTCTAATATTGAAATGGTTACAATGCATGTTATATTTTCCATGTCACTGGGTTAGGGGCTAGGATCAGGGATTAACGTTAACACTCTCACAAACAGAATAGCTGTTTCTGTAATCACCATCTGTCAAACTACATTTTGAGATTGACCCACATTTTTTCCTAGAGGTGAACTGATTGTCTTCCTATCCCGAAATCACAGCTCCACCCCCTTGGATACTGTTAATCTCCAAACAAACCCAGTTGACATGTTTAAAGGCAAAGGACTATGTCCATGGCACTGTTGTGTTAAATCAGGGATGGAGAGATTGTTTATAGGGACTGAGGAGAACCAGTCAATTTTAAATCACAAACTATCTCAAATCAATGAAAAGGTTGGTAGCTTACTCTAGACTGCCTGCCCTATTGTACCTATGCCAGCTTGTAGTGCTCTAGAGTTATTGTCAACTTTTGCTAATATTTTGTAGAATCCCTCATTGTCATATTTATGTTGATATTTGGGTAATTTAGCAGATGCTCTTATCCAGAGCGACTTACAGTAGTTTCCATTGCACACATGTGTTGCACAGACCTTTTCTCTCACTTCAAAGCTGAGTTTTTGAAGTTCATGTTTGTCTCTTGATTGGATAGTCTAAGAGGATATCCTTGATGGTTAAAAAAAGAACCATGGGCTGCTAGGCAGATTTGAGTTTGTTTTGTTTGGTTGCGGATGAAGGGAAGGGGGGGGGGGGGGGGTGTAAAGCTTGTTAATGATGACATTGGTATCTAACCCCACTCAGAGGTTATGCAGTTCAGAGGGGGAGGGGAAGAGACTTCCTCTTTTTAGTAGGGTTGGCGTGTTTGTAAACAGCTCAGTGTGGGACTATCCTGATGACACAACTCGTGGCACAGATTCTTTGTTCTGGCTTCCCCGATTTACCAGCAGATAAAGTATAGGGATAAATGAACACATTTAATATGTGGGGAAATTACCCATTCATTTATTAACGCAACTTTGATATTGGTATCCAAAATATGATAGTGTTGGTAATGTTAGGATCTTTGTCATGATTTCCAAGCCATTTGTGGGATACCAATATCTACTCTGGTGAAGGGTTTATTTATGTGGGGCAGTGGCTCTGTTCAGCGTGTTACGATCTGTCAACTGATGGAGAGATTCAGAGGGGTGGAGTGTGGATTCCGGCCATAGGCTAATGATGCTTCAGAGCATTTTTCACTACTAGAGGTCCTGACCTGGGGCTGCTGCCACCGCAGGAGGGAAGGCTATGAGCCTGGGTCTCTTCCTGTGTAGGAGCTGATGTGTATGCTTAAGGCTACTTACCGGTAGCGGATGTTTTATGAGTGTCGAATTGATGAGTTTTTTAACAGATGCCGTTTACATAGCTTATATGGAGTATCTGACAGGAAACCTCTGAGTTGCACTACTTCATGTGAAATTGTGTTTTTTCCCTATTGCCCAAATGGATTTCAATATCCATATGACTTACTATGTGTTGAACTAATTTCTCCAAAATAATCATTTGGTGGGGGGGTGTTATTAATCATTTCATCAATTATTCTCTGTGGCATTTGGGAACCCTGAACAAACTGCCTTATCTTCATTTGTTTACTTCATTTGGGTTTCAATGAGAGCATATATTCCCAGCCAAGCTCTGCGCACACACAATGTTAATGATGTCATCATTAAACCAAGGAGCGATTGAAATCTATGAAAGAAAAAAAATGCAATTACCCAAATCTCCTAAAAAGTCAACAAGGAACTTCCTTTTGGATTCTAACAAAGATGAAATGGTCCCTGTTTTTTTTAAAGAGCCTTTTTAAGGCTTTATGGGTAACATGTCATAAGGTGCTAGTACAATTAGTGCAACAGCATGGCCAACACATTTTCACTTCAATTTCTTTTAAATGGGTTCATTTAGTGGACTAGGTGTGTACAAAGAAGAGCAGGGAAAACCCCTTTTCTAAAAGCTCCCCAGCCCCCTCCCTCCTTCACACACACCACTACACCCCCGGGTTACGCATTGGCCATGTAAATTTAATAACGTGTCCCAGGGCTGTCTGGGACACCTGGGGTTATCGCATTAGGCCGACAGCCCAGAGAGAGGAGCTGCTCCCAGCCCCACAGCACTGAAGGCTCACTGTTCTCGACCCCCATCCCCCCCAGCTCCACCCTTATCTGTGCATTGTCCTACTATAGGGGCTCACTTCACAACGAGCTCAGTCCTCTCTGAAGGAAGCAGCCCAGTCAAAGGGGCTGAGATCTGCACCAGAGAAATCTAATTAGACAGGAATGCCAATTTCGGCGCAGGCTTCCGAGGGTCATCTCATGTCATTCAAGGTGAGAGAAAGCTGAAGGATTCCATGTGATTAGGCTAAGCTACATGCTTCTCATTGCTCGATGGGGTGGAAGTGTAGACTGTATCATTCTGGAATTTTGTGGGATTTCTGTAGAGCATGTGTAGGATTATTAAGATGTTTTGTTTGGGCCATTCCAGGTGAATCTGCGTCTTATCCTGGTCAGTGGGAAGACACAAGACTTCATCTTCTCCCCCAATGACTCGGCCATGGACATCGCCAAGCACGTCTTTGATAACTGGCCCTTGGGTGAGTTTGTGCATTTTGGGAGGTGGACCAGTGAACAACTACAACACTGTCTTGTTTTATATTGAGTTGTATTTCAGAATTAATCAGGTCATTTTGCAATTTTCTTAATTATTCTTAGTCTGGGTCGGATTTAGGAACATGCTTTCTGTCTCTTGTCACGGGGACCACTTTACAGTTATTATAGGAAAAGTTGTTACACAATGCCTTGTCTCAACGCTATATGCCACCTTCAAACCCCTGACGATGGCAGTCATGTTTGTGGGTTCAACCAGTGAGTGTCTGTCTGGCACAAGTGATATTAGACTTTTCCCCTCTGCTTCTGAGTGTTGCTCTAATGTTGTTGTCTCATCTCTGCATCAGGATGGGAGGAGGAGCAGGTGGGCAGCGCCAGCATCCTGCGCCTCATCTTCCAGGGACGCTTCCTGCATGGCAGCGTCACCCTGGGAGGTACTGGATGGACCCTCTTACACAGACATAACATCACCCTCCCTGTCTAAAATGCACTAGTGAATACTGTATGACCTTTGTCCTTTGAAATTAAGTTTGATTTAAAACGTGCCACAGTTAAGGACATTCACTGTAATTAACTTAGCAAAGACGGAGAATGGGCATTCTGTGCATGTTTACTAATGCCATAATTAAAGAGGATTATATATTCTCCATATGAATTGTTCATTGTGTCTCTGTCCTTTTGTTTTCGAAGCTTTAAAGCTGCCCCCTGGCCGAACAACTGTCATGCACTTGGTTGCCAGAGAGACCCTGCCAGAGCCTAACTCCCATGGTGAGAACCCTTCTCTGTCTCTCTGTGTCTCTCTCTGTCTCTCTCTGTCACTCACTCACTAACTAACCATCCCATCCCATCCCATCCTAGCGCTCAGGGACCAGTGGTGGAAAAACTACCCAATTGTTAAACTTCACTAAAAGATGCCTTAATAGAAAATGACTCAAGTGAAAGTCACCCATAAAATACTACTTGAGTAAAAGTCCAATAGTATTTGATTTTAAATAAAACTAAGTATCAAAAGTAAATGTAATTGCTGAAATATACTTAAGTATCAAAAGTAAAAGTGTAAATAATTTCAAATTTGTTATATTAAGCAAATCAGATGGCACCATTTTCCAAATTTACAGATAACCAGGGGCACACTCCAACACTCAGACATCATTTACAAACTAAGCATGTGTGTTTAGTGAGTCCGCCAGATCAGAGGCAGTAGGGATGACCAGGGATGTTCTGTTGATAAGTGCTTGAATTTGACCATTTTCCTGTCCTACTAAGCAGTCAAAATGTAACTTTTGGGTGTCAGGGAAAATGTATGGAGTAAAAAGTACATTATTTTCTTTAGGAATGTAGTAAAGTAAGAGTTGTCAAAAATATAAATAAAGTACAGATACCAAAAAAGAATACTTTTTATTTTATTTAGCCTTTATTTAACTAGGCAAGTTAAGTACTTAACACCACCAGTGTCAGGGACAATGTTGAGCTGTAATTGTTCCAGCTTTAGGCCTTATTGTCCCTTTAAACCTGAAAGCCTGGTGTGATATTTGCTATTTTATTTTGTTGTGTTATGTCAAGTTTCTTTGTCTCGTCCTCGTCTTTGTAGGTCAGCGTAACCGGGAGAAAGCCACAGAGACCAACTGCTGTCTGCTCTTGTAAAAACAACAACGAACAACAATCCTCTCCCTCCTTCCACGCCCCTCCCCCACGTTCATCCTCTGCTTGGCTTCTGTCTGCCCGTCATCCCTGGATTTGGGGAGATCACAGGAAGATGTGTCACAGAGCTGTCAGCGGGTGGTCTGTCACACATTTTTGTTGCACTCTGGTCCAATCGGTGGCTTAGGAATTATGTATTTTTTCGTGCCAATTTATTCAAATCGATTTTCTCTCGTTCACCTTTTTGCCAAATTCTGCCTTTCTTCTCTCTGTTGTAAAATCATGTTAAGAATTTGTACATATAATCTCCGTGGTTACCCAGGAGGAGCTATCCTGGGTGGGAGGGGGAATATACAGGTTTTGAAGACTCACCTTACAAAGAAACACTAACAAACTATGACTTTGGAACTTTGACCCGTACTGTTCATACAGTGGTTTGCATTGCCCTTGAAGACTCGGCTTACAGTTTGCTCCATGTATCTTTCTGCTAATGAAATGGGAGTTCCCACGGGTCTTGCACTTAACTGGGTTGTTTATTTGAAAGTGTGTCTTTGAAAGTTTTTATGTATGGTCTTAATCTCCCCTTCCCGTCTCAGAGGAAGAGAGTAATATCCTACTGTTCGACAAAGTGCTGTCCCCGACGTAGACTGTGTACAGTAGTTGCCTCCTACTAGCGGGGAGTGTTTAGTCTGCCTTGCACCAGTGGACTGGAGTGGTGCGTCTCTCTGTGCCATGGGCCACAGGTGTTTGTTCCTGGACTTGGACCAACACCAAGGAAGAGTTCAAAGTTGTAAAGGGACAGCTGTCAACACCGGAGTGTATGTGTGTGACGTTGTGTTGGATCACCTCCTAGAGGATGAACTGGTCTAGCTAGAAGAAGAATCTAAACTAACTCCTACACGTCCTCCCCCTGGTTGTGAAGCCTTGCTTTTTACATTTTCTTTTAAAAACAGAGTGAAAATATTTGAAGGAGTGCTTCTGAGTGACCATTTTGTGTCATTCTGTATGGCTTACATCTCTGACCGTTTAGACTATACTACATCCAGTCTCATGAGGAAGCTCCCTATCCTCTCCACTCCCCGTCTGACCTGAGTGAGGAGTAAGGGAATGGACACCAGGAGCCAGTCAACAGAGTGAGGTGGGGGTGGGAGGGTTTCATGGCCTCCTACAGGACATTAGGAATAGAGGCATGGGAGGGAGCAAGTCCTTGGAGAGGGTACCCTCTGGGAAATGATGACGGTGGTATTTTACCTATTTTTTTGTTTGGATGCTGTCGGATTTTGTTTGTCTTTGATTGTGGAATTATTCCGTAATCGTTAATATTGCAATTTAAAAATGATTTTTTAAAGTCTTGTATTGTTTGCTCAGGTTTAATTGTCTGGGGTTGATTGTCCCAGGGGTTGGTATGTATATGTCTGGGAATGCATATGAATTTTAGATGATCATGTTCTGTGTGTGAGTGGTCGGCTGGGGAAATGTCTGTGTGTTGAGACAGTATGGCTGCGTTTACACAGGCAGCCCAATTCTGATATTTTTTTTTCACTGATTGGTTATTGGTTTTGTACTGATAAGATCTGATGTGAAAGGTCAAAGACCAATTATTGGAAAAAAAATCTTAGAATTGGGCTGCCTGTGTAAACGCAGCCTCAGTGTGTTTGAGAGGGAGTGTGAGTAATGGGTGTTTGTGAGGTGTGTGTGTGTGTGTGCATGCGCCTAAATACTGAGCGAGTGTGTGAGAACTGGGGGATAGCTATGCAGGTGATTGAGTAGGAGGGCAGATTGGTCTTGGCTGGCTGTGGTTTCCATGGAAACAGTGTGGCTCCTTCCTTTGAGTCGTTTGGTTAGTGTTTATGTCAACCAATGTCACTGCTATGAAATTAGGTCAATATGAATATGTATAAAATAAAAATAATAATGTGGTCTGCTTGACGATATTATAAATTAATAAACAGCTTTAAATATATATTATTTTTTTTCTTAACTAAAAGAATCAAAACCCTTGCTTGGAGAATATGCATAACACATTTGGGATATGCCCTGAAACAATTATATTGATCAATGTACAGTGAGGGAAAAAAGTATTTGATCCCCTGTACGTTTGCCCACTGACAAAGAAATGATCAGTCTATCATTTTAATGGTAGGTTTATTTGAACAGTGAGAGACAGAATAAGAACAAAAAAATCCAGAAAAACGCATGTCAAAAATGTTATAAATTGATTTGCATTTTAATGAAGGAAATAAGTATTTGACCCCTCTGCAAAACATAACTTAGTACTTGGTGGCAAAACCCTTGTTGGCAATCACAGAGGTCAGACGTTTCTTGTAGTTGGCCACCAGGTTTGCGCACACCTCAGGAGGGATTTTGTTCCACTCTTCTTTGCAGATCTTCTCCAAGTCATTAAGGTTTCGAGGCTGACGTTTGGCAACTCGAACCTTCAGCTCCCTCCACATATTTTCTATGGGATTAAGGTCTGGAGACTGGCTAGGCCACTCCAGGACCTTAATGTGCTTCTTCTTGAGCCACTCCTTTGTTGCCTTGGCCGTGTGTTTTGGGTCATTGTCATGCTAGAATACCCATCCACGACCCATTTTCAATGCCCTGGCTGAGGGAAGGAGGTTCTCACCCAAGATTTGACGGTACATGGCCCCGTCCATCGTCCCTTTGATGCGGTGAAGTTGTCCTGTCCCCTTAGCAGAAAAACACCCCCAAAGCATAATGTTTCCACCTCCAGGTTTGACGGTGGGGATGGTGTTCTTGGGGTCATAGGCAGCTTTCCTCCTCCTCCAAACATGGCGAGTTGAGTTGATGCCAAAGAGCTCGATTTTGGTCTCATCTGACCACAACACTTTCACCCAGTTCTCCTCTGAATCATTTAGATGTTCATTGGCAAACTTCAGACGGGCCTGTATATGTGCTTTCTTGAGCAGGGGGACCTTGCGGGCGCTGCAGGATTTCAGTCCTTCACGGCATAGTGTGTTACCAATTGTTTTCTTGGTGACTATGGTCCCAGCTGCCTTGATATCATTGACAAGATCCTCCTGTGTAGTTCTGGGCTGATTCCTCACCGTTCTCATGATCATTGCAACTCCACGAGGTGAGATCTTGCATGGAGCCCCAGGCCGAGGGAGATTGACAGTTATTTTGTGTTTCTTCCATTTGCGAATAATCGCACCAATTGTTGTCACCTTCTCACCAAGCTGCTTGGCGATGGTCTTGTAGCCCATTCCAGCCTTGTGTAGGTCTACAATCTTGTCCCTGACATCCTTGGAGAGCTCTTTGGTCTTGGCCATGGTGGAGACTTTGGAATCTGATTGATTGATTGCTTCTGTGGACAGGTGTCATTTATACAGGTAACAAGCTGAGATTAGGAGCACTCCCTTTAAGAGTGTGCTCCTAATCTCAGCTCGTTACCTGTATAAAAGACACCTGGGAGCCAGAAATCTTTCTGATTGAGAGGGGGTCAAATTATTTTCTCCCTCATTAAAATGCAAATCAATTTATAACATTTTTGACATGCGTTTTTCTGGATTTTTTTGTTGTTATTCTGTCTCTCACTGTTCTAATAAACCTACCATTAAAATTATAGACTGATCATTTCTTTGTCAGTGGGCAAACGTACAAAATCAGCAGGGGATCAAATACTTTTTTCCCTCACTGTAGAGGTCATGACTTGTGATTATAGGGGGAAAGAAATCTAATTAGTTAAGCAGTGTTGGGGAGTAGTGAACTACATGTAGTTCAACTAGTAATTTAACTACATTTTGCAGTAGCTTTGTGGTAGGTGAACTAAATTCAAATCTAGGTAGTGTTTTCAGTAGGTAATTACTTTTTTGCCATGTA